CTCTTGTAAGTCTTGTCCCACTACTGTTTTTTCTATAACATTTTGAAGTCTTGCAACGAACTCAACATACGGTTCATTGGCTCCTTGCAGAACTTTAGCCCAAGATCCATATTCTGATCCTTTAGGCCGTATTTTATCCCAAGCTTTTAAAGCAATATCTTTTAATTGAGCATGAATCTCTCTTGGAGCTCCTGCCTGATGCTCAACAGTATCAAAGAAACCTGTACCAGAGAGCATGGGATAAGAAAGGAGTCTAATATTCGGATCTCGATCGTCAGCATTTTGTCTTGCCTTTTCCGCACAACCTTCCATAAACCACATGTGCCACTGTAAATATTCTGGCTCCTTTAAAAGAATTTTGGCCAAGGCTTTCCAATCATAAGGAGCAAGATTACCATAGTGATCTGCTACTGATGTTATTAATTCTCTAGTGTAATGAGCCTGAGGGCCATAAAGGGTTACAGCCTTTTTTAATTTTGCTAAATCATCCATATTAAATGCTTCCCATCTAGGGGGAACTGCCTCTCCATCTATTGGCTGAGGCTTGATTACAGGGAAAGCAAAGGCAGGCTTTTCCTCATCAGAATCCCCTAATTTTGGTAAATCAGCCAAAGCTAGCTTGGCTTTACTCCAATTAGGGTTAGATGGAGGAGGTGCAGAGGGAACTACAGGCGGGTTCTGCTTAACGGAGAGTTGTTTCACCTCTTGTGTTAAATGCTGTATAGCCTGTAAAATTGGGCGATTGTCATAATTTGATATTGCTGCGGCAGCTAAAGCTGAGTCGGCTGTAGCGGATTTTACTTTTGGTTTGGACGCCTTTTCACTACTTAAAGCGATAGCGTCATTTTGAACTACATTCTGCTCCTCCTCTGTGAGGGGCAATTCCTGAATAACTGGCTTAATTTCTAGTTGAAGATTTTCTACAATATGTTCATCTTCCATAGCTTTTAATAAAGAGTACACAACCGACCAAATAGCCCAAAAACGTAAAGGAATCTTTTCCTCCTGTTGCATAGCCCTTTCTATACTAACCCTTGCCTTCCTCCATACTTCTACATCCAAAGTTCCTTCATCTGGAAACCAAGGATTATATTCTTTAATTGTATCAATACACATATCCAAGTCAGCTGACCTGAGCGATATGCCATATATAGATAATAAATGTTTAAGAATTTTTAAGAAAGGAGAGGAAGCAGATTGTCCCATTTCCCCGTAATAAAATTATACTTACCTTCCTAAGCGACCTTCGGAGTCCCTGAATTCGGGCGCCACTTGTCGTGAGTGTCTAGAGCACTCTGAACTCCGGGCAAGGTAAACACGCACGCCTTGTCGGGACACGGGGGGTACAGCGCTTGGAAAAGAAAGACAGGAGAGACACCTTTGCTGTCTGCACCGCGTTACACTGCACTGCACTGCACTGTACGCACAATCTTTATTTTAGGATTCATATATAGTAAACCCGATCAATTCACAGAGCCCAGATAATTAAGTAGTGAAAAGGCATTCTTTGTGGCAAGCTACAACGTGACAGACTACAATGTTTATTCTAAAACTATCTAAGTGAAGTAAATAATCACAACCAGTTCTCACAACTTCTCTAGCCCAGGAAGAAATTCATTAGCTCAAGAATGTTGTTAATTTGTCTGCTGTTAGTGTCACAAAGGGTGGCCAGCCACTTCCTCAAGACTTCTGCAAAACAAAGCCAGCTCACAGTATGGATTCCAGAGGGTGAGGGCTCACTGAGAACGGGCATTCCCGTTCTACCTCCTTCTCGCATACCAGGGCGGCTATTGTAAATTGCAGGTTAGAGGGGGTTGGGCCTACAAAGTGACACCTTATCCCCCACAGGTTCACTATTGCTTAGTAGGGAGACAGGCTGGTTGTTTGGTTTCACAGCATTCTAAGTTCCAACATAGCATGGATCTCAGGAGCTGCTGCTGGTTCTCCCCCTGGAAGGGCTGCAGTTTGCCAGACTGCCACTGCTGACCAGGAAGGGGAGGTGCTTGCTTGGCTTCCCGGTCAATTGATGAGATATTTATCTGCCTCTGGTTTTGTGGTTGCTGGTCCTGCCGGCTTCTCATTGTGAGCCCTGTTTAGAGACAGTGCACAGGGAATCTTGCCATGACTCAGCACAAGAAACAGTGCTCCTATTTGGCTGTTACATTCGCAGTGAGTTGCAATCTAGCATCAAATTTTCTGTCTTCAAAAATGTGTATATACATAAAATTAATAACCAAGAGATGAATTTAAATTTGAAGAAATCAGTCTTCATTCAGCTGTTTTGTTTGGTTTTATTTGTTTAGTTTAGTTTGTTTTATTGAGACAAGCTTTCTATATGTATAACAGCTGGATTTGAACACCCTATGGAGCCTAGAATTGCCCTGACCTCACTGATGTTGTCCTGTCTCAGCGTTTTGAGTGCTGGGATTATAGATATGCACCACCATACTTTGTTTTTGATTCAGATCTGCAGGAAAGAATTTAAGATATCCCAAACCTGGGGTCTCAACCTTCCTTTGAGAAATATATGTATGATTCTTTAGGATGTGGTGACCTTTGAGGATGTGGTCATGAACTTCAGCAATGATGAGTGGAGTTTGCTGAGTCCATCCCAAAAGAACCTCTACAGAGAGGTGATGGGTGAAACTTTTAGCAACATGATTGCGATAGGTAAGGATGAAATCTTTTTGTCACTCATGCTGTCAGAATATTGTTTTTTGCTCATCAGTGCTGTTTCATTAAAAAGAACAAGAAAATATTTTAAAAACTATCTCAGATCTGGACACATTTTATCATTTATCTAAACAAAACCTATTAATTCATATATATTAATCTAATGAGTCCTGGTATTTCTATGTCTACAATTCAGGAGGACTTGGGGATATCCAGGAAGCTGAAAAAGAATGCAAAATTTACTGGAGATACTTAAGGTAATCTGCACTCACAAGGAGAAGGAATGTTCCTGAGTAATTAGTGAGTCAGCAGAAAAATGACCACCATTCAATTTAATGTCAATAATATTCTCCGAAGATATATAATCTAGGGTATGTATCATGAGTGAATTAAATCATGGAAATGTATGACATTGCATATAGATATATACAAAAGGCGTACACTTTGAGTTATGACATTCTGCCTTCAGTTTTTGTACCGATATATACATGTGAATGCAACACATTCATTATCTAACAGTTGCTAAGTTTGCAATAGAATTTGAAATAAAACTGAGTGCTCATGTTTCCAAGCCATGCTCTAGAGAATCAACCATTCTGATTAATATTCTTAGTAGGCTGGTGGAATGTTAGTGTACTCAGTTTGAATATCAGTATGCAGTTGTCTCTAGAAATTAATCCCCTCATACTTGTCCTGGATACTGTTAAAATCTCAAAATCTACATAAAATACTGATATATGCTTACTCATATACAAAGCAGATCAAGTTATAACAGATCAGGCCTTGAAGCTTAGCTATCTATCATTGGATTTGTGGAGAAGGAAAATTTTAATAGACTCTCTGTGATTGTGCATTCTTCTTCCAGCACACTAGGAATCAGATTTTGCAGAATGGCAAAATCAAGTTCAAACTTCACAGCTTAATGATCAGTGAAAATCTCTTAAAATAGATTTTTAAAAATCTATAGATTTATGCTAATACCTGTTGTTCATTCCCAGCCCAGAAAAGAAAAAAATGTGTTATATAATGTCAAAAAATAAATAATATAATGTCATTTGCTATAAGAATTAGATGGGACTTTCACCCATCAATTCAGTGAAACAGCTCAGCTATAAAACCTAAAAGGTCACAGGGTTTATTTTAGATGAGAAACCAAAATATAAATTGTGGAATGAAATGAAACAGAGTTGATAGAGAAAAGTAAGACTAACCATATGGAAAGGGGAACTACAGGTTAAGAACAGAAGGGAGATTGTGATGGGGAAACACATAAGAATAATCTGCATGTGATACACATATCTATCCATGCCTAAAGTGAAGCTAAATATTCTGCATTTAAAAAGGTACCACCTTTTAAGATTTTCAAATGTGTACCAGTCTTTTGGGAATGGTTGTTTTCAACATATCTTACAAGGCCATTCTGTTTCTTCATGGCCAGAATTTCTTAGCAGGCATTAAAAACAGAATTTCACATTAATGCAGTCATTAAAGTGAGATGCATTTCACTGTGAATATTTCTTTTTTTTTAATTTAATATAAGGAAAGGTTAAACAAACAAAATAAGTAGAAATAATACTATTTTCAAAGTGAAAATTAACAGTAAGAAATCGCAAGATGATGATTACAAATGCTGATCATAGAAATAGTTATGAAATACAAAAGTGAAACATATGAAGTGGGGATTCAAACAGCGAGACTGCAAACAGTTTTGTTCAACTCTCCAAGAAAACCTTAGTAATATCGTTATATATCCTATATGTGATTTTTTTCTTTACAGAAATGACAAGCTAGGGAAATCCTATGGACATACATCTTGGAATCAGTGTAAAGAAGTATTCCTTTGTTTTGCAGAAGGTAATGTGAATGTGAAAGAAACAGAAACACACCACATTGTTCAGATCCATGAAAACTATTGCAGTGCAGGGAAACACTACATATGTGAGAAATGTGGGAAAGGTTTTACCACACATGGAATTTGTAAGCAACATGGAAGAATTCACAGAGGAGAGAGACCCTACATATGTAATCAGTGTGGGAAAGCTTCTACAACACGTACATATTGTCAAGTACATGAAAGTCTTCACTCCGGAGAAAAACGTTATAAATGTAAGTACTGTGAGAAAGCTTTCAGCTCATGTACTTATTGTGTAATCCATGAAAAACTTCACACTGGGCAGAAATCGCATATATGTAAGAAATGTGGGAAAGCTTTTAGCATTAAAATTCATTTTCAAATACATGAAAATGTTCACACTGGAGAGAAACCCTATATGTGTAAGCAATGTGGAAAAGGTTTCATCCAACCTGGAAATTGTAAGGAACATGAAAGAATTCACACTGGAGAGAAACCCTATGTATGTAAGCAATGTGGGAAAGCTTTTAACACACGGGGAGGTTGTAAGAGACATGAAAGAATTCACACTGGAGAGAAACCCTATGTATGTAAGCAATGTGGGAATGCTTTTAAAACACAAGGAGATTGTAAGCAACATGAAAGAATTCACACTGAAGAGAAACCCTATGTATGTCAGCAAAGTGGGAAAGCTTTTAAAACACAGGGTGAATGTAAGAAACATGAAAAAATTCACACTGGAGAGAAACCCTATGTATGTCAGCAATGTGGAAAAGGATTCACCAGATCTGGACATTGTAAGCTACATGAAAGAATTCACACTGGAGAGAAACCGTATGTATGTAAGCAATGTGGGAAAGCTTTTAACACACGGGGAGGTTGTAAGAGACATGAAAGAATTCACACTGGAGAGAAACCATATATATGTAAGCAATGTGGGAAAGCTTTTACCACACCTACAAATTGTAAGGAACATGAAAGAATTCACACTGGAGAGAAACCATATGTATGTAAGCAATGTGGGAAAGCTTTTAACACACGGGGAGGTTGTAAGAGACATGAAAGAATTCACACTGGAGAGAAACCCTATGTATGTAAGCAATGTGGGAAAGCTTTTAAAACACAGGGAGATTGTAAGAAACATGAAAGAATTCACACTGGAGAGAAACCCTATGTATGTAAGCAATGTGGGAAAGCTTTTAGCACACGGGGAGATTGTAAGAGACATGAAAGAATTCACACTGGAGAGAAACTCTATATATGTAAGTAATGTGGGAAAGCTTTTAAAATGTAGTGAGATTGTAAGAAATATGAAAGAATGCACACTGTATGTAAGCAATGTGGGAAAGTTTTTACCCTACATGGCCATTGTAAGCAACATGAAAGTTCACACTCCAGATAAATCTAGTGTATATAAGAGTCGTGAGAATGGTTTGAGCACACGTACATATTGCATAATGCATGTAAATCTTCACACTGGGCAGAAAATTTATATATGTAAGGAATGTGGGGAAGGTTTCAGCAGAAATGCTCATTGTCCAATACATTATAAAATTTACACTGTTGAGAAACCCTGTGTATGGGAAGAATGTGGGAAAGCTTTCACCACACATGGATATTGTAAAATACGTCAATGACTTCACACTGGTGAGAAACCCTATTTATATAACAGTGTGGCAAAGCTTTTACCACATACAGTCATTGCAAAACACATGAAAGAATTCACACTGGGAAGAACCACTGGCTATGTAAGAGAGTGGAGACACTTTCAGCAGCCAGATTGTAAGTGAAATACATGAAAAAACTCACACAAGAGATAAATTCTATGTGTTATGGGAATACTCCCATCATACTTGATCATTGTTACATATCTGAAAGAGCTCACTGGGCAGAGATGCTATGGGATTAACAATGTGAGAAATATGGCAATCCATGTTTCTTGTTAAATACATAGAAAAAGTCACTGTTCAGACAGTTTAGATCTAAGTTTACTTTAAAAATCACTAGGAGACCTAAGAAATAATCAATACAGAAGTTAGATGTCAATATTTCTTCACAAATATTCCAGAAATGACAAATCTGAGATGGTGGAGCTCTACTCAAGTGCACATGTTGTATGATTTTCAGTTAATCACTTGTACCTCTCTAGATTTTTTAAAGTGTCTTTGTGCTTCAACATGGCATCTTGTAATTAAACATGCTAAACTGAAATGGGCTTTTCACTTTCAAGTATGAATAGTGTCTATGTACTTAATATTTTTTCTTTAAAACTTAAATTGCATATTTTTTGGTGAATTGTAATGTTGTTTATTTAAAGAGAAAAAAGAAAAAAATATAGAAATAATACAGAATTTCAGAAAAATAAACAATAAGAAATCACTATTTGATTAGTTTCATATTGTCATCTTAGAAGTAGTTGTTCAAGTTACAAAATTAAAGCATACAAAGTGATATTCAAATAATGACACTGTCAAAAGTTCACTTCAATGATCCAACAAAAAGTTGTTAATATGCTTACCTGTCCTACACACTTTTTTTTCTTAAGAGGGTAAGATTAAACATGACAAAACAGAACAGAACAGTTCATAAGGAACCAAGTTAAGGAAACAGATTTCAAAGCAAGTCCACTGCAGATGTTCACTGTCTATCTTACTGTCTCTAGTTTTCTTCCAAATAGTTGTTCCCATCTTCACATACATTGAATATATACCAAATATTATAGAACTAATCAAATAGTTACAGGGTGATGCAGGCTTTTTCAGGCTTCAAGACTGATTTTGGGGCAGTCGATAATGACTACCATAATGTCTCTTATTCTCTTCATAGTAGCTGTCATTATCTTTATGTATGCTGAAATTTAACATAAGAGACTGGACTAATATCACTCTGAACAGTGAATAATAGTATCCTGAGAAGGAGAAAGGTGAGGAATTGCCTAAAAAAAGAAGGCAGAGAACATTGTTAAAAGTGTATCAAGATTTAAAAGCTACAGTAGCATTGTTGCTCTATTTAGTTTGGTTATATTTTGTTCTGGTCTGTCTACTCATATTAGATTTGAGGGCACAGAGAGATAACCCAAAAATAACAGGTTATACCATGGTAACTATCCTTAAATTCCTATTAACCAAAACTGAAACACTATATTACTTACATTGTCTTCTATGACTGATCTTCTTTGAAGCTGGTTTGTTTGAATGTTATTTGGCCTTGAGTGATTTTATTCACATTTGGTATGCTTGCTAGTATCAAGTTCAAGAAAAGAAGCAACCACTGTGAAGATGACAAGATGTAAAAGATATCCATTGGTGGGCTGGGGATTTAGCTCAGTGGCTTAAGCAGCTGCCTGGCAAGTGTGAGTTCATGAGTTTGATCTCCAGTGCCAAAAAATAAATAAATAAAAGATATCCATTCCAGGTTTGATTATTTTTTAATTAAAGAGAACAAAGATAGGAAATAAAAAAGCAGTAAAAGGGTACAAGTAATACAGAATTTCAAGAAAAAATACAATAAGAAATCACTAGTTAATAGGTTATATATTGTCATCTTAGAAACAGTTGTTCAAATTATAAAATTAAGGCATATAAAGTGGACATTCATACAGTGAGATTGCAGAAAGTTCTGTTCAATGACCAACAAAAGCTCAGTAATATGGTTTTCCATCCTACACACTCAAGCATGCAGTTATATCCCTTAGACCACCTTCCTTTCCTCTCTTTTTTAGAATAACAATTACACATTTTGAGTTTTTTTACTCCCAAAGTGATTACATTTTTTTGAAGAGAATAAAACCTAACATGATTAAATAAAACAGAGTCGGTTAGAACAGAAGGATGGGCATAGTACATGATGCAAAAATAGAGTATCAGATGATCAAAAATAGTTACCATTGTGCCTCTTGTTATTTTTAAAAAGAGTTGGCTATATCATCAGGTATAATAGAATTGATCAAAACAGTACAGAACAAGACCAATAAAACCTACACTGGAAACCTTACAAGATTTCAAAAGAAGATAATAGTCAAACTATAATGGGCATCATAGTAAATCTTATTGCCTTCAAAGTGGTTGCCTATACCCTCAAACTTGATACTATCAAACAAATAGAATATAGTAAAATCAGGCAGAACAAGATGGGGAGAGCAATACTGGGGTTCAAATCAGGTTAATAGGAAAACAAAGTTACTGTTATATATCCCGATATTTTTAATTTAGTTTACCCTTAATTGAAAAAAAATAAAAAAATAGTTTAATTTTTAAAAAAGGATGGAGATTGAGATAAAAGAGGACATTGTAATAGAACAACACTGGTCAGAATGGAACAATTTAAGCATCATTGTGTTTCACTCCCAGATAATCTAACATAATAGTAGTCACCATAGTGCCTCATTCCTTGAATTATTTTAGTATAACTTTGTATACTATAGCTTCAAGCATATCAAGACAGTGTGAAGCGATTCAAGAGACTGAAAGAATTACAGGGTATTTAGAACCAGTTAACAGAAAATGAACAATAGTTTCTATATTATCTCCTTTCCTATAAAATATTTTCTTTATGCTATCACATATTGTAAAATATAGTAAGATACAACATGGTAAAACCAGTGGAAACAGATAGTTTGTGAGAGAGGGACCATTCTTACACCACTGAGATTGAGCCCAGTGTTGATCATGTTGGTTAATTTTGAATATGCTGGTGAGTTAACGTGGCAAACATTTAGCTGAACCCTTTTGTGTATGTTTGGTAGGAATATTAGTCAATAGAGTGTTTTCATTTATATTATTTTTAACACATTATTGTCTAGCTTCATTCTCAGGAATATTTTGTCACTTAAAAGAAGTTGGTGGTGGTTTTTCCTTCAACTTGATTGAATAATTGAAAAATAATCAGTATTTATTTTTTAATTCATCAGTGCACTTATTTTATCCCAGCTTTATTGTTGTTATTAAGCAGCTGTGATTTTAAAACATTGTCTGTACTCCTTATTGCTCTGGTCATTAGACTATTTCCTTCTGATGCATGTGGTTTGGGGACATCAATGGACACCACATATCCATTAAGGGTCACATCTCATTTTACTTATGGATGCTACCATTTACTTTTGTATCTTCAAACTATCTCTATAATATATAATTTTGTGAGTAACTCCTTTCAGTTACTCAGATTTAATGCACATTCTTGCAGGGTGTGGTTACTGCTGGAGGAAACTGGGGCTTCTGAGGGCCTGGTCTCTTATTTAAGGCTTCATACCCTGGCCTGCCTGCAGTGTCCCCATCTCCTGACCTGCTCCCTGTAAACACCTGTCCTGCTCCATAGCTATGGTGAGTCCACATGTGGCAGTTCAGATCTGCACCTGGGTGGAAAACGTTCAGTCAGTTTGGGCTCTGTAACAGACTGACCTTGTCATACAGAGCTCCCCTGAGTGAGAGAGGGGGCCTCAGGCATGTAGGGAGGAGCTCTGGAACCATTCCAGCTCTCTCCTGTCCAGCGTGCAGTGTGTGGTGCTTTCCTGAGAACTTACTAAAGGATGAGGCGGCCTGGATCTGGGCCTTTTTTAGCCATGGTTCCTGCTACGTACCATTGTGTCCTGCAGCTCTGCCTGGACCATCTCTCTGACTTTAGATCTCCACATAGATCAGAGCAGACTCAGTCTTCCTCTACCAGGCTCTAACTCTATACTGAGGCTTCAAGTGTAAAATCTGCCACCCTCAAGTTCATCTTATATGCATTTAATCTGGAAATTCCACTTCTAGGGGTCATTAAAAAATGACATTGACAGACACCGTATTCTCTTCTTAAACAGTTAAGGTGTGGACTGTTAGAAACCATGAACTTACCACAGCACAGCTGCTGAGTTAATTATAAATTACAGCCCCTGAAAATGCTGAAAGAAGGCCATGTCCTAGGCCATGTCCCTGATCTTTCCTGTGATGGAAGACAGCTTGTGTCCTGGCTCTCTCTCCACCCAGCAGTGAAGAGATGCAGGCCTGCACAGCTGGTGAGGACAGGAGAGAGGAGCTGGTCAATGGCAGAGCTCTCATCCTGGGAGGGATGCCTTTGGGGTTTTTCCATTTTATGTTCCACTGCATTATTTATAGTGCTCCATTCAGTATTACTTCTCTCCAATTCACTTAAGAATAAATACTTGGTATTTTCTTGAATAGGTGATTGGAAATGGATGACTTAATATTCTTTTATATGTAATGTAGGATACACATATAGAAGAACATTCAAGCTTCACTTTATAGTTACATAAAATAAGGAGTCTTTTTATTCAGAAAAGCAACACATCTTCACGACTAACTTTTAAACCCCCAAGATATGAAGCCATGTGAATTCCGCTGTGGTGGGTGTCCTTCCCTCCCTACCTGAGAAGTCACTGTATTCATCTGTGTCTGGTAGAGGACACCCAGAATCTTCTTCAGAGTTTCTTTTTCCAGCAAGGAGGACTTGAATCTTCCTGTGCTCAAGC